ATGTATGCTCAAGTTTGTACTCGTCCCGATATAGCTTTCATAGTGGGAAACTGGGCAGATACTCACAGGATCCAGGTATGGATCATTGGAAGGCAGTCAAGCGTGTGATGCGCTATCTAAAGAGAACAAGGGATTACATGCTTACTTATCAGAGATCAGATAGTCTGGAGGTCATTGGGTATTCTGACTCTGATTTTGCTGGATGCCAAGATAGCATGAACTCTACATTTGGCTATATCTTCATGTTGGCTGGAGGGGCTATTTCTTGGAGGTCTGCTAAGCATCGTCTTATAACTCCTTCCACCATGGCAGCGGAATTTATAGCTTGTTATGAGGCATCTGATCATGGATTATGGCTGCAAAATTGTTTCACGGGGCTGCGTGTGGTAAACAACATTGAGAGGCCATTGAAGATTTATTGTGAAAATAATGCAGCAGTGTTGTACTCTAATAACAACAGGAGTTCGACAAAGTCAAAGTTTATCGATATCAAGTACCTGGTTGTTAAGGAGAGGGTTCAAAATAGACAGATTTCTATAGAACATATTAGGACTGAGTCTATGCTAGTTGACCCATTAACCAAAGGATTACCGCCTACTGCATTTTATGAGCAAACTGCTCATATGGGCGTTATTCTGGATGATACCTTGGTTTAGTGGGAGTCATTTTGATTTGTTCTATAGACATTGATTTGTGACTCTGCAGAATAAAGTGATTTTTGTTTTTCTTCAGTTTCTGTTTTGAACCTTAAGGTGTTTATTTATTATGCAATTTTCTTGCATGAAGTGTTTTTTGATCTCACTAAAGTTGGACCAGTTGAAAATAGGCATGTTCAAGATCATATTACATGTAATTTTCATGCCACTCATCCATATTTGATCTATGTCATTGAGTGTGTAAATGTGGTGATCATGGTGGTTTAATCATTATCATATCATGATTGAAGCCGCGTTGGTTCCACTGCTATACATGAGATGGACAAGATTGTTAAGGAATAGTCATTGTACAAATAACATTCGGACGCGCGCCTAAGGAACTTTGTGATATAATTATTTGCATAAACCATGCAGCCCAAGTGGGAGATTGTTGGAAATATATGTTCCACGTGATGTGGGCTGTGGTTTATGGGATAATAATTGTATTAGTTATTTGTTAAAGTGGGCTAATTATAAGTGGTTAAATTATGGAGCCCAAGAATACTCAATATCTTATATGGGCCCAATGAGTGGAAACCAGATACTAAACCTAATTAGGGTTTTATGGGAACCCTAGCTAAACATAGTATATAAAGAACCTAGAGGTTGTGGTCCCCAAGACACTAAGACCGAAAAATACGCACATATGCTCCCCATCAGGAATATGTGAGGTTTCCCGTGAGTGGACTAAGGAGGCTTGGTTGAGGAAGGCCACTAAACTTCCCGGATCGTGCTCTTGGAGGTATCGTCCGGTTAAAGATCGTTCTACGGATTCCGCTTCAAGCTCACGACGATCTACCATCATGAATCCAGGTATTTAGATCTATTCGCCTTTGATAATCTGATAAGATATTTCCAGAGAATTATGTATTTCGATTAATTTCAACAAGAGGTTCTGCATGCTTACTCTATAAATACCCAGTTCCCCATTTCCACTCTTCCACCTCTCTCTCTCAGTTATAAATATAAAACATATCCTATATATGGGGAGTTCTATGGTACCTTGGGTGAAATCCGGGGTACTGCATACCTTGAGTAAGAACACGCTATCCAGAACTTGAATTGACTGATCTTTCGGACATGATACTATACTCTAACCCTTAAAGATCAAAATCTAGGTCATAATTCTCTAAATCTTATACCCAAGATCAATTTAATTAGAAACAATAATCGACGGTTATGATTCGTCCAAATATGGGGAAAAAAAATCAATGCATCATTTTAGGGTTTATAGTTTATGATTTAGATAATTAGGACCTAGGGTTCACCCATTAAAGATTAGGGTATAGTATCATGTCCAAATATCCTGCTAATTCGAAGTCTAGATAGCGTTTTCATACTCAGGGTATGCGGTACCCCGAATTTCACCCAGGGTAACGTAGAAGGCACCCCTATATATATATTCCAATTAATATAACAATCGATATGGCTCCTCATCACGCTTTGATGGCGGCTTCAGCGATGCTGGTTCAAATCTGCGCCACCGTGGTGGTCTTTGAAGCGGCGGGTCGAGGTGCCGCCGCCCACATTGGCTTGGATCGGAGGAATCTTTTGGCCAATGGATTGGGTCTTAACACCGCCAATGGGGTATGCATATACATATGAGGATCCTTCTTATGTCTTTTAGTCCTTCTTGCTCGAATAGTTTATTTGATCCATGAGCAAACGATTAATAACTTATGAAAACGTTGTTAGGACTATGACTGAATTATTTGAGAAAGTTAAGTTTGGAACTAGTTCAAGTTTTTTTTTTTTTTTGCCTCCTATGGTTTGAGGATCTTAGGATGGATACTCTTGATAGAAAAGCTAACATAAACTATATATGTTCATTTTTTGTGATGAATCCAACAAGAATTCATATTGATAACTCTTTGGTGTGTTTTGTCACTTATCACCTATTTATGGTCCTTTAATTTGTCTACATATTATAAAATTATAATATGATTTTACACGGAAAAATAATATATGTTCATCACCTTTGTTTATATGCTGGTGTCTAAACAGGTGGAATACTTATAACCATTTCCACTGGACAATTTCATAGAAGATCATAAGAGAAACAGGTTTTCTTTTTTCCCTCTAATCATTTCATATATATATATAAAATATAAACTAAGCATTTGTTATATATATATATATATATATATTAGGTGGCGATGCCGCGCCATGTCGCGGGGCGGAGATGGCCTATGAGCATGTATTATGTGGCCCATTATGGTATTTTGTAAGTACTGTTAGTCTAAAATTAATTTTTCGTTAGCGATGTTGTCAGTAATATTGACTGAGAAGAGATATATGGCGGTCAATATCCAAATTTTTTACTTTAGCTAAACCCAAGCAAACCCATTGATTATAGCTGGGGTATGAGTGGCGTATATATGGGTTTGAAAGTTTGTAGATGGAAGTTTATATTCCTTTTGCTTCTCTCTAGAGAGTTTCTTTTTCACCCGGGCTAGAATTTTCAACAAATATACATGGAATGTTTAGCTAGATATCTACACATATCAAATCCCATAGTGGAAAATGACGACTTTCCAATAAGTAATAACCATATATATTAATTGGGCTTGACATTGAGTTGAAAAAAGTTAGTGGTTAATAGTTCAATTATTAGTTCTCTAGACTGTTTGTGAGTAGAGTTGTTAATGAGTCGAGCTATTCGTGAGTGGCTCGGTATTCAACTCGATAAAAGCTCGTTCGATTAAAAAAAAAGTTCGGCTCGTTAATAAACGAGCCGAGTTTGAGCTCTACCTTGTTCGGCTCATGAATCTCGTGAACTAGCTAGATTAGGTGGCTCGTTTAATACAACTCATGAACTGTCTCGTTTTGAGCTTATGAGATGTCCAAACATTGTGACTAGAGAGCTAACTCAACTACAACTTATGAGAAAATCAATCTATATTTTATGAGTTGGTTTGTTAATGATGCATATTATTATTAAATTGTATATATCACCTCATATGGTGTATAAATATTAGGGTATTTATATTACAGATTATCTTAGAGTTGAGCTCGAGCCGAACGTTCGATCTTAACGATGTGTCAAGATTTAATAAATGAGCTGACTCGTGTTCGACTCAACTCGGCTCGTTAATAACTGAGTCGGGCTTGAGCTCGGCTCGTTTATAAACAAGCCGAACATGAACAAGGCAAAGCTCGACTCGGCTCGACTCATTAACAGCCCTATTTGTGAGTCATGTATAGACCCGTTCATACTTGTGATTATAATACATAAAAATAGTATACTAATTAGGGTAATTAGACGAAGAAGGCAAAGAAAAAAATAAAGAAAGGGTTATGGAAGACGAGTGAAAAATGAAACGAAAAGGGATTAGATTATAGAAAGGTTTTGACCAATTCTTTTAGTTAGCCGTCAATACAATAGTCAACACTTTTCACCGTAGCAATTTATCGACAGTCGCTTATGTAGATGTCGCATATTTTATTATATGTAGTTAGTAGAAGTTTGTTTAGTACCCCGTAAATGTTCTCAATGAGTTTATAAATTCGCTCTTGCAATATTTTAGAGTCGTATCTCTTTTATCATTTATTTAATATTCACATAATGAGCAAATATAAAATGGTCGAATCTTCTCCTACAGTTGAGTGATATAATATCTTGTGTTGTACAAACTAAATTTATAATTTTATGTTATGGTGGATTAGATTCATGAATTGGTTCGAGAGGATTGGTGGATTGGATTCATGGACTCAAGTGAAATATAAATATTGGACAAATATGTAAATTTGAAAAAACTATAGGTATGAAAATCTCATAAAATTATATACCAAAACATAAATGTTCAATGATTTCATATTAAAATTAAATTTGGGGTATCAAAATAAAAAATTTATATTATAGTAACTAAATTGTGACTTAATTAAATTTGAGGTATTAAAATGTACATTATTTGACAACAGTAACCTAACTTCCACTTTATATATATTAATATATAAACTAAGCATTTGTTAGTTCTTTTTTAATTTTATCGCCAAGGAACTTTGTTTCATATGTATACATAGGTTCAAGTTTTAGATTTTAGTTTGGCCAACCTGATACGATATAAATGCTCTTATTCCTAAATAAATATGAAAATTCTACACAGGACTTAATTTAATTAAAATAATATTTTCTCGTAAAAATGGAGTTATTTGAGGTTATAGAATTGTGAAACCATAGCTAAAACAAAACAATTGAGTTTTCTTCATTCATAGAGCTAATATACAACTTCTTGATGCATGTCTACAGTAAAGTGTGACTAACACTAGTATATCACTTTGTAATTTGTGTTTGAAGCGGACGCCATGGTTTCATCTGGACTTGCTGCATTGGGATATCAATACATCAACTTAGGTGCTGCATATATCTATCTTCCTCAAACATGACTCTGTTGTACAACTACGCCATTGAAGGCGGCATTGCCCTACGCCTTTGTTTTTCTTTTCATCTCCTAAATTTCTCTTTCCCTGTCTCTCTTCTTTGATGGAATGCATTGGAAGATGATGCGTGGGCTGAACGTCAGAGGGACTCTGCGGGAAACTTGGTTGCTAATGCAACAACATTTCTTGTTGGAATCAAAGTGTTGGCAGATTATGTTCATGCCAAAGGCCTCAAGCTGGAAATCTACTCTGATGCAGGGTAAGGGAAATCACCCTTTTCTCCGTTCGAATTATATTTCGACTTGATGTATCGAATAATAATGCAGGAGTAATCTTTTGAGTTGTTGCAGGAATCTGACATGCAGCAAGCTACAGCCATGATCACTGGGCTATGAGGAACAAGATGCCCAGACATTTGCCTCATGGGTATCCATCATCATACCATATGCAACATGATCTCTAATTCACTTCTCTGCAAATGGAATTAAGATGATCTTGAACGGTGTTTGATCATTTTCTTCTTCTGCAGGAAATTGATTTTCTGAAATATGATAATTGCCATACTGATGGCACAAGCCCTCAAGTGAGGTATCCGATAATGAGTAAAGCATTATTGAAGACAGGAAGACCCATCTTCTTTTCCCTCTGTGAATGGCATGGCATCCTTTTCCCCCTCTTCTTCTTCCAAATTCAATGTTGGACTACTGTCAATGTGTTTGTTGTTGGCAGGGGAGTTGAAGACCCTTCAACTTGGGGTCCCGGTGTTGGTAATAGCTTGAGAGCAACTGGGGATATTGCTGATAACTGGGAGAGGTAATCCTTCCCACCAAGTCGTGCCATAGTAGTACCTTAAAGCAAAAATTGTTAGGCCGATCACGATCCTTATTTTGCTTTGTACTCCCCAGAATGACAAAACGTGTAGATAAAAATGATAAATGGGCATCTTATGCTGGACCTGGAGGATGGAACAGTACACTCAGCATAACGCTCGTAACTATTTCACTTTTCATTGTCAAAGGCAGAGACTTATTCGTTCGTTTGAACATTTCCAATGTCTTTTACTCCGTGGGTAGATCCTGACATGCTTGAAGTTGGGAATGGCGGCATGACGACGGAGGAGTACAGGTCACATTTCAGCATCTGGGCATTAGCCAAGGCTCCTCTCATACTCGGATGCGACATTCGATCGATGGACCTCGACACCCACCAAATTCTGAGCAACAGTGAAGTGATTGCAGTGAACCAAGGTAATATCAACGTATATGATGATGATCTACAAACACCATGGCTGTAATCCCACAAGTTGTGCTGCAAATGGGATGGTTCTTTTCAGACAAACTTGGAGTGCAGGGGAAGAAGGTTAAGAAAGATGGAGACTTGGAGGTGTGGGTTGGTCCTCTCAGCCAAAAGAGTGTGGCAGTAGTGCTTTGGAACAGGGGTTCTTCCCCAGCTAAAGTCGCTGCTAACTTCTCCGATATTGGCGTCCCTCCCTTCGCCCTTGTGGATGTCAGAGATTATGGGCGGTGACAGAAGATATAAAACTGTTTCTTCTGTTCTTCATGAACTAATTTGACTGTGGAATTGAATTGAATTGAACTGATTTGATTCGCTGATGACTTGTTCTGAATTTTTTATACTGCAGCACACCACCGAAGCAAAGGTGAAGGAACAAATCTCGGCAGACTTGGATCCCCATGCCTGTAAAATGTATATCATCATTCAAAAGTAACAACCCTGTAGTTGCCAAGTACCAAGAGGATGCATGTAAAATCTTTGTACATGTGCCTTTCTGTTTCTTCACTTTGTATTGGATTCCATTCGAGTTGGGTGCGATCAGAAGCAACTTGTAACGCTCTGTGCGAAATTTGAATCCATTATTCTATTATATTCTATAGAACATAGAACATAAAAGCTTGGTACGCTTTTTCTCTCCTACTGTTTCACTTTGTGTCGTTTTGTGGCGATGGATGAAAGAGCTTTGTGTAAGCTTCCTCCGTTGCTTAGCCCGACCCATTAATATTTTCCCTCCTTCAGCAGCCGGCCATGCTTTCCCTTACGTCTTCGCCGCAGGCGACCATGCCCTCCCTTTGCATCCTTACCCTAAAATCAGCAATCGCACGCTAGCTTTACTCCAAAATTAGCAATCACAAGCCAGTGTTTCAGTCATGCCCATCTTTTCACCATGCTGGTCTGCTTTTCCAAACTTCTCGCTCTCTTCGCAACTTCTCACACACGCCCCCCCCTCCCCCCCCCCTCCCCCTGCCATTCTTCTTTCCTTACACTTAATCCCCCATTCCATCTTCAGAGCGGCAGCGATTTGAAATAGGAGCACGGTCAGTATGAAGGCTGCGACGAGTACTCCGCCATAGCAAGGAGGAAGACGAAGACAGAAGAAGGAGGAGAACAACAAACCTCCCATCTTTCTCTCTTTCTCTGTGTCTCGGAGAATGAGATGGAAAATAAGAACCCATAACTTTGCATTCATCCATTACAGAACAGCAGTAGCGGATTCACAGGCTTTTTCCATATTGACTCTTTCACGTACCATTGCTTAATATTATTCTTTTCCTGCTTTCTTCTCTAAACAAAGCAGCTGTTTGGAATTAGATGCAGGACGGTGCGTTTTTGCTTTCTTGGCTGTCGAACCATCTCATTTAGTTACAAGGTGGGTTTCCTCTGCCATCTGAGTTTCCGTCTCTCCAAAATTGCTCTTTCCTTTCTGACTCAAAAGAATGAACGACAAATCTTACTATTAGTCATGTTTGATTTCGTGGTTCCATTTAGTTTTTTTGGTATGATGGGGAGAATTGGGAGCTTTTCATAGTGCTTGAATTGGAGTTGAAATTCCTCAAAATGTCAACTTTCTATGTTCATGTGTCTCAGAATCAACTAATGGTGCAATCATTCTTTCTAAGCTTTTGATATGTAATGCAACAGCTGTGTTTGAAGCAGTTTCTCTAATAACAGAAAAGTGGCTTCGTTCATCTCTTCTAATCACAACTCTAAAGCAACTCAAGCGAGAGATAAAAAGGGATACATGATGGACACTAGCATGTATATGTATTTCCCTTTTTGGTTGGTCGCACTTGCTTTGAGATTTTCCCTTCCTTTCCTTAGTGTTAGCTTTTGGGGTATTTTCTCCAATTTTACCAGTTTCATTTAGAAAGCAGCTTCTAATCAACTTAAGTGAGAGATAAAGAGGAACACATGTTGACACGAGCAGGTACTCATATTTGATAGTTGCTCTTTTGGTTTGGTCTCACTTGCTTTGAGGTTTTCCTTCATTTCCTTAATGTTAGCTTTTGGGGTCGTCTTCTCCTATTTTACCAGTTTATCCACTCTGCTTCTTCCTTTGGAAAATCCATTTCGCATGTGAAGTAGATCATTTTTTAAATTGTGGATTCAGTTTCTGAACATATATATTAGCAGGAAGTTGAGGACATGTGATGGCGGAGAGACCACATCAGCAGCCAAGGGATACTGCTGGGTAATAGAGAGAATTGAATGGAATATAGCCTTCCGGCAACCATTTGTAGTTTGGCCCTTGCAGGTTATTACTTTTTATTCATTTCCGTCTTGCTGATTATGTGCACAAATCTAAGGAGTTTACTTGCTTTAACTTGCTTGTCGTACATGTATAGAGCTGGTCTTGCTTGCATTCTGCCATGGAGGCCTGCCAAACCGATGCACCATTTCGAGAAAGGGAACCTGGTTCTGTACTTCGTTATGTTTTTATCTGCCGCCAAAAATATGTTTACTTACTGGCGTTGTTTGCTTCTGTAGGGTTTCTGCTTTGTTTACTGGGGAGTCGACTGCAACCTCTGTAATTCACAAATAATGTAGTTCTTTTATTTTTGGTATCCTTTAGTTGATAACAATGGCAATTCTAAGTTCTATTGTAAATTCCATTGCTCCATATGGAAGAAGCATTTGAATCCATGCTTCGAAAGATGGAAAGCATTCCTGATGAAAGGATTCATAATTCCCTGAATGATTAAGAGAAGCATATTTAAATCATCATGTTGTTGTCTTACCTTCAACAACCTGTATCCCTTCCAACCAACTCCTTTTTTGTTTAGATTATTATTTAGTTCATAGAACTACTATTGACTAATGTGTTTTTTTTTTCATGCTATCAGCTTGCTGCTTCTTGGATTGTTGAATGCGAAAGACCAAATAGGTCAAGATAAGCTCTCAACGTTGCAATAAGAACTGCAGACATTCAAAGGAGCAATAGGTTAGATTGTGAGCATGAGATTAGCAGCTTGATTTCATGATTGATGTTTCATTAAGTGTTTAGTGTGAACTTTTTTGGATATATAACTTCAAACCCCACCTACAATTATGTGGTTAAGTAGGTTGTTAATTTGGAGTTGCTTGCCCTGAAGTAATGTTTAGTTCTGCAGATGGCAGAAGAAATGATGCTAGATCACCGTCAGCAAACCTACTCACGTTTCTGAGATTCTACCTTATTATGTTGTTGCACAGCATCAATAAGGGATGACTTGCAGTTGCTATTGACAGGAGGGAGAGGGAATGTGACATCAGTCAAAGAGGAGATTATGTCACAACCTAGCGTCCCCAGCTTTAGTACATTGATCTGTCATTTTTGGTTTGTTAATGTTTGGTAGGCAATGGCTGGAATTTTGTACTTTTACCTGGTTTTTTCATTTGTTAGTTATTGTAAGGAGTGTTTGTTGAATTATATAAAATAATGGAACTTGCTGATTATAGGAAGGAATTTGGTAAGTTCTTGCATAGCAAGCATGTTTAAATTTTTTAACAAAACATATGTATTTGCTTTCTCTTTATAATTTCTAACAATTTTATTATTATTATACTGCTTTTAAATAATATTAAACACGGCTCAATCTCCCGCAGCGTAGCCGTGGGTATTGGTACTAGTCAGTAATAAAATCCATTTTTTTTTGTCATAGATATAAGTAGGCAAAAGTACATATAATATATACAATAATACGATAGTCGCAACTAAGCAAACTATCAATTCAAGAGCCTTTTAAGCCACAATATGAGCAGCCCTGAACAACCTAGGCATATAAACTGATAATACAGAATAAACAAAATAAAGTATATTAATAAGGATACATCCCTTGAACAACTTCACCCAAGACCATAATAGCATCGTCAAGACTTTCGGTCTGAGCTTCCGAGCCAATGGACACCGCCACTAGTACATAATTACGCTCCAATAGTATCACTCCCAGAATTGCTCCGCCTCGATCCTGGAATCGGATTATCCCCCACCGCTAACAATTCCCTCCAACATAAAAACATAAACAACCAAACTAGGCCAGTAGGCCCATTTGAGTGACCAGGAGGTGTCATCCCATTTAGACTTTAATGAAATAGTGGATAAGAACCACACAGCCCATGAAAATAAGCAAACTTAAGCCCTCCAAAATCTGAACAAACGGACAAATCGCTAAACGGTAGCATCCTTAGCCAAAAATCTTGGGTTCCATGCCACGCGTCTGGCAGCAGTAAATGAGTAAGCAACAAGGCCCCTCGTTTCTGGACAGCAAACGTCAGCAACTCCGACGAAGAGAACACCGGAGACCCTGCTTGGTACGACGGAAAAGGAGAGTTGGGACTGCAAAAGAGTAAACAAGAAGAAGAAATAGCAACCACACACAAACCAAACTAAGAACATTTAAGAACAGACAAAGAGACCCTGAGGGAACCAAGTAGCAGAAGCAGAAATCGAATGCAAAGCTGTAAATCCATATCCAACCTGTCAAATAGAACTCGACGACTCGGAGGATTAGCTTACGAGAAAACAGACAAAAAGCACCCTAAAAGACTAGTGTGTCAGAGGAAGAAAAACTTGAGCCAAACCAAAAATCAGTAGCCCTAAACGGCTAAACCTAGATCAAGAAAATTATGATAAGCAAGACTAAAGCTACTGTCAATAAATAAAATTTGTACCCAAAGCAAGAAAAAGTGAAGCAGCAGAATGCAAATAATTGACAAAAGGGTTAATAGCATTTTATACCCCTCTACTATTGCAAGTTAACAATCGTACCCCTCTAAAAAAAATTCGCACAAACCTACCCTTTTATTATCGAAACATAACAAATTTAACCTTCCGTTAATTTCTCCATCCACCGACCGTTAAAGAGAATGCCTCAACAAGCTTCAAGACACCACGTTGATGTAGGGGTGTACGTGGGCACCGGGCCGTGCCGCCCACGGGCTAGCACTGCACGGTTAGAACACGGCACGAGCACGGGCACGAAATAAATGGGCCAGCCCGTCACCACCACGAATAATTTATGGATCGTGTCGGGCCTAAACTTCATGGGCACGGGCACGAGCATGGCACGGTATATAAGTGGGCCGTGTCGGACCTAATATTTTCGAGACTTTCTTGAGTATAAGAACGGACATGACAGAAAAATAATATTTATTTTATAGAAAATAAATATAAAAAGAATTATAGGTTCAAATATTACAAAAACATAAGGAGAAAAATAATTATTTGTTGTTGTTAGAAATGTCATAAAGATATATATGTAATTATTAACATAAGTAAAAATGGACAAAGAATTAAATAAAGTCAAATCACACTCGCCATACTTCTAGTTTTCTTTCCCCCCTTATTTGTTACTTTTCTCAAACATTATCGGTTAATACTATCTTCCTCCGTCCTATTTTTACATTCTTTTTCGTTATCTCTTTTGTTTTCGTCTTTTTCATTAAACACGAATACGAGCATGACACAAGCACGAATAGGCACGACACTATTCGAACCGTGCCCGGGCCTGGGTCGGGCCTAGCAAAGTTAACAAATGAGCTTGCATGGCACGGCATGAAAACTGACAGGCTGTGCCAAGCACGGCACGAAATAAATGAGCCCGAAGCATGCTCGTGCCGTGCCGGCCCAAGCACGGCCCAGCGCTCACGTACATGTAGGGGTCCTTGATTTCGGCGATTATGCAGCACTGCGCCTCGCCGCAGTGATGGTTCCCTCTGGTGAGGGGATTGGGTGGCACCACCGTAGTGGCCGACCGGAGAGGAGTGGGATCATTAGGAGACGACGACGAAGGAGCAGGGGCTATCGTCGTACCGAAAGCCGCACGATCTCAAGAAGACGCGGAAAAACGTTGTTTGCCGGGGAGGAGTGAAATTGCTTCTCTCCGTAGAGGGCCAGCTGAAGAGTCCGCCAGCGAGAGCTCATAGAAAGCATTTTGTCTCGCTCCGCTATTCTAAAAAAGCCACCAAAAATTTAGTTTGTTGTTTTGCAATTAGGGATTGCTTTTTAGGCTAACATATGTTCAATTAGGTGGGCGCCAGATTTCCACGAAGATGATAAATGATGATGACGGGTATCGGTGGCGGCGGTGTTGAGTATACGAATATGAAAAGGAAGTTGAGTACCCTGCTCCATATCAAGGGTAAACAAAAACAAAACCAACAAAAATATCTTTAAAAACAAAATTTATTATTGTTTTTTTCTATTTTTGTTGAAAATAATTAAAAAGTGAAAAGGAAGGGGCAAATTAGTCACTTCATATTCCCTTTAACGGTCAATACATGGAAAAGTTAACAGAAAGTTATGTTTGTTACGTTTCGTTAATAAAACTAAATTGCTATTCGTCGCCCTAAATTTTAAATTTTATCGTCCTAAACTACACCAAAATGACATATTCACCCTTACTCCAATTAATCCTCCAAACCCGACGACCACCTCTGGGAAAAGAACCGCTGTCGCCGCCCCTCCATTCTCACATATGGCCAGAGAAAAATCAACTGTCGCCGCCGCTTCCAATAGCCCCTCCGTCCATTCCGACCGATACCCGCACCCGAATCCGCAGCTTCCATTGTTGCTCTGTTTCTGGCGGGCTGCTTCTGCACTGACATCGCGGAGAAGAATGAGAAGGAGGAGGAAGAAGAATGAAGTCGAAAATCGCTTGTTGCTGCTCTATTACCCGGGAGAGGAAGGAAGAAGAAGCGTCGCTGTCGCTAGCTGCTGTGTTGCTGTCGACAAGGAGAAGGACAGGGGCCATTGCTGACTACTTGGCGTCTCTCTCAATCGATTCAAATTACATCAACGTTTAACAACCAGTCAAGCTCTTCTGTCTTCTCATCTACAAGAAAAGGGGTCTTCTGGGTAGTAGAAGTGGGAAGTCTTATCTTTTAATTCAAGTGTTCTTGGGATTTCTTTTCTTCCCAAGTTTTCTTCTTTTCATCTTTCATAATTGTTCTGATTTCCTTAGAAGATAGCATTCTGCAATTCCCATCAAAAGCAGTGATAATGACTGCAGAGTAGTAGCCAATTTCATTTTTAATCTACTAGTATTCTCATTTCGTTTCTCATCTGTTCATCCAATTCAAAATCGTTTTATCAATCCTCAAATGTTACCGTACTGTTGCCGGCGAGCTTCAACCCATCCAACCCAAAATATCATAAATAAATAAATAAATTCATTTTTACATAGGCCTCCGGCGAGATGGTCAGATATGTGATTTTAAGTGTTTGAAAAACAATAAATTAACTAAGGCCATAAGAGTAAATTTAACCTAATTAGGGCGACGAATAAGGAATTTTAGGGCGACGAATAGCAATGCCCTAATAAAAGGGTATATTTGTGCGAAAAAATAGTAGATGAGTACGTTTGTTAACTTACAATAGTAGAGGGGTATAAAATGCTATTAACCTTTGACAAAACAAAAACAATCAAAAGGGAGAGAGGAAGAGAGGGAAAGGAACGAGAAGAAATCCCAGCCCGACGAGCCAAAGATGGAAACCAGGGTGACGGCGACCGGTCACAGTCATGTAGGATGACTTCAGTGGCGGAGCCACTTGGAGAGGAGGGGGTGCTTTGCACCCCCCTTGGGTTTGGAGAAAAAATTTCCGAGTAGGGGTATATACAAATTCCAACCAATGACCATTCAGTTGCAGGAAGAATTTCTTATCATTTCGATCGAGTGAGTTTTGTTATGTAATGCACTTTCGTCTTTATTTATAGTAATAAATTGTTGTCTTTTGTTTAAACTCGCTCATTTTTTTTTAGCTCTACAACAGAGAAATTTCTTGTCTTTTGTTTAAACAAAGTTGAAAGTGAAGAAGTACCAATTGAAGTTCACTTGTTTGTTTCACAAAATCAATTCCAAGGTACTTCTGAGTTCTAATTTGTAATATTTGATGATTGGAAGTCTTGATTTGTATGTACTGAACTTACTTGTTTGACGTTGTAACCGGTGTACGTGAAACTATTTTGATGTAATTGTGTGAATTTAGAGTATTGCGTTGTTGGCTTTTTGTTTAATTTAAAGTTGACTTTTCTATTGTATAGGTGATTTTTTATGATATGATAAAGATACCCCTTGGCCAATTTGCTGGCTCCAGAAGCAGGCACCGAGTTCTTCGTCCTCATTTGCTTCGCAGCCGTGGCGGCGACGACCGCGAAAGGCGGGCTTGTTGATGGAGCATATTCGGAAACTAAGCTTCTTGCTGCTGTCTTCGATCTCCGGTGGATTTGAAGCTGGAAAGGGTTGTGGATTTCTATGCACAAACCCAAGTTGTAGCTTTTGTTTTGCTAAAAGCTGGAGTCTTTGTTAGGTGGGTTCCCGAATTTTCTAGTTTTCTGCGCCATGCTGGAGACGGGGATATAGACGAAGATGAGAAAGTTGCCGTCTTTCAGCTCCAGAAGGTCGCTGTATCTGTGGAATTTGAAGATACGGGACGCCACAAATCGTGGCCTTTACAAGAAAACTCTCGATCTCTACAGTTCCATCCTGCAATCTGGGGTAGGTGGTGGTAGTAACTTCACTTACCCGATGGTCCTTAAAGCCTGTTCTTCTTCCCCCGACGCCATCCACGTCGGGAAAACGCTTCATTCCCATGTTACCCATCTGGGTTTTCAGGCGGACGTCTACGTGCAGACATCTCTCCTCGATATGTACTCCAAGTGCGGCGACTTGGTTTCTTCGAGGAAGGTGTTCGAAGAAATGTCTGAGAGAGGCGTTGTGTCTTGGAACTCCATGATCGCTGCTTATTGCCGTTGTTCTCTCGTTGATGAAGCCGTTTCTGTGGTAAACCAAATGAGGGCTCTTGGTCTGGAACCAAGTTCGACCACTTTCCTTGTGTTGTTTCCTGCTTGTAGCTCCCTTCTGCAGGGCTTATCGACCCAGTGCTGTGCCTTCAAAATGGGGTTCCTGAATGGTGACGATGAGGTGCCTCTAACTAATTCTGTGATGGGTATGCTCGTCAAACACTGTCAAACTCATGAAGCTCGTGCAATCCTTGAGAAGATGCAAGAACCGTCCATCATCTCTTGGACAACAGTGACTAGCGGTTATGTGGAAGCTGGACACGTGAAAGAAGCTTTCTCTGTGTTTAACCAGATGAGGAGGAAAACCATCAGCCTGGATTATGTAGCTTTCTTCGCAATCATATCAGCTTGTGGCCAGCATGGCGACCTGTTGGTAGCTTCGACGGTCCATTCTCTAACAATCAAAACCGGATGTGAGGGTGAAGATGCTATTGACAATCTGCTAGTGAGCATGTATGCAAAATGTTGTGATCTCGTCTCAGCTAGATGTGTATTCGATTCCTCTTGTGAGAAAAATGTCTTCGTCTGGACATCAATGATTAGTGCATATCAAAATGCAGGTCATCCAGCTGATGCTATAGAACTTTTCAGGAGGTTGTTGCAGACAAGTGTGAAACCGGATGAAGCAACTCTGGCCATCATACTTTCAGCTTGTGCTGACACAGGGACTCTGTCTCTGGGAGAAGAAGTTGAAGAGTACATCATGACCAACGGGTTGCAGTTGGATCGGCAGGTCCAGACCTCTTTAATACACATGTTCTGCAAATGTGGTAGTATAGAGAAAGCACGAACAGTATTTGACAGTATATCAGAGAAAAAAGACTTGGCAGCTTGGAGTTCCATGATAAATGGCTATGCCATTCATGGGATGGGAAATGAGGCCCTGAGTCTCTTCCACGATATGCAAAATACGGAAGGAATAGTGCCAGATAGTCTTACTTACACGAGCATATTACTTGCCTGCAGCCATTCAGGACTTGTGGAGGATGGGTTGAAGTACTTCAAGAGCATGCAGAAGGATTTCGGTTTAGAACCCAGAATTGAACACTATACTTGCTTGGTAGATCTTCTGGGTAGAGCTGGTCGGCTTGACTTGGCACTGGAAACCACATTAGATTTCCCTGAGAAGATTCAGGGACGTATGTGGGCTCCATTTCTAAGTGCATGCAAGAAGCATCAAAACGTCGAGCTTGGCGAATTGGCTGCTAGAAAGCTGTTGGAATTCAGCACTGGAAGCACTGGGAACTATGTATTGATGGCAAATCTGTACACATCTCAAGGCAAGTGGAAGGAGGCGGCCGAGACAAGAAGATTGATGGACGACAGAGGACTTGCAAAAGAACCTGGTTGGAGCCAAGTTGAGATCTGTGATTCTGGAGATCGTTAAGGCTGAATTCTTAAAGCATTTAATTTAAAGCTGTACATAAATTCAAGAATCAGGCATTCTGATTATCTGCTCGCGAATAGTACAAACGTTTCTTTGAAGTAGAAGCCGCAACTAACAGTGTGAATCAAACGGCTACCTAAACAAAAACAACAAGGGAGCCAAATAGTATCTTCTGTTAGTAAGCTATCTTGTATTTATCTTTACAACAGCTAGACGAGTTGGGTCCTTATGAATCTGAAAGAAACTGAAACTTCACAAGGAGCTGCCACCGCAATCTTTTTAGTCTCTTTCGTAAATCTGGAAAATCCCTTCCTCAACATTCTGCAGTACTTTCTTCCTTTTCTATACCAGTGGAATTATGATTTACCGCTATAAAAGCTTCACTGTACACAATCGTGGCTAGTAGAAAGCATCCAACTTAATGCATTCGTTCATCAATCATAGCTTCCCCCCCACCAGGAAAGGTCTCTATTTATTTATTTTCAGCTTTATCTCGCATTCTCTCCACAAAGCTTTTACTCTTTTCTTCAATGTGCCGCCTTTTCTCTTCAAGCTTCTCGCTCATTTTCTTCCCCAGATCAAGCATCCTTGCTCTTCGTCCCAGTCTCTTAGGCTCATCAATCCCTTCGATTGACCTATCCACATTTATTAGAGACCTAGATGCTGTTTGTGAGCTTTCAGAAATATAATCCCCATTCTGCTGAAGACCTTTGGGTTCGTGGCTCACTAATAATGGAGATCTCAATTCTTCTGATGACCTCCTGGTTTCTGTTGGTGACTTTTCCGAGCTAGCCAAGGCATCTGAAGAATCGGGTTTCACATGTTGGCTTTCACCAGTATTCCTGTTCACTTCGGAATTGCTTTCCGGGCTATTGCTTGAGGTGGTTCCCTTCTTATCTTCTGTCTTGGCTTTCGGTTTAGGTGGCAGGGAACCAAAAGCTTCGCTCACAAGTGCATTGTCACCAGTTGATTCTCGATTAAGCCACATGAAAGGTGCAACTTTTTTAGGGACCCAATCATTCTTTTCAGCTAACATCCAAGGAATACCAACACTTTCACAGTTGGGTAGTACCATAGTGTCCCGAATAGCAGTCTGCATCAGAAAAAACTTGTAACTACTTTTTTAAATCAAATTATCTTCATAATGCAGGACGGTTCAATTTCTGTCCTGAATTATCTGCAGAAACTGAACACTGGGCCTTGTTCTCTCATATCAATGGCACCATTGACCAAGGAAAACTATTGTTCAAAAGAACAACAACGATCACTGTATACCTTTCACCCTTTACGCCAAGATTGTGATGAATGGACTGTCAGGTCGAAAATGGATGAATTGGGCAAATTCCGCAAATTACCCCCAATAGGAAACATCGAACAGGAGATGGTTTCATGGTTCACTTAAAAAACTGAAATTACATATCCATTTTTGCTTCAAGGGAAATTCTTCTTTCGTGCTTTTAAGCATTACGAGTCAACTCTAGAAATGAAATTAGCCAACTGGCCCTTGAAGGTGAGTGAGATATTGTTGTTGCCATTTAATCTCCCAACAAAATGGCCCTACCCTATGGGCATGGCTTCATGAAGCAGCCCAATTAGTTCATAAAGAGAGGATATTCAGCATGTTAGTGAAGGAAAATCTCTTACCTTGAACCGATTGATGAGGAACAAAGCAATATGTCCACTAGTAATCTTATGATCTCCAACTGAAGACTCGAGTTCAAACTCTATATCAGGCATCGATGTGAAACCAAACCATAGCTGATCAGAAGGAGGTGGCTTTATGTGTAACCGCAATGTTCCGCGGAGAGAAGAAACCCTTATTGACAAAGAGATCGGCACCTACACTCAGAACCATTTCATAAGGGTCAAATAAAGTTGAAGCAACATGAAAAATTCTTCTCTTGAGGGGAGGAGGAGGTGGAGTATCATCTACTTGTGCACACCCCAGTATTAAGGCGTGTTGGGCATGTACAATAATAACACAGCATAATTTCCATAAGACTCTCACCAGACAATGATTTGCAAGAGTAACCCATGCCACAGGACCAATTTGGTTAGTGTTTACCATACAGGGGAACTGCAAGCCCCGGAAAGGCAAACAACCTACTATTCTATGACATGATGAGCACACAGACTCGTATGTTCCCCAAGTGGGAAAGAACAAGATAGTCGAGAAGGGATCCTTAACAAACCTGTGAAACCTGTTTTGCAATAGAATTAACAATGGCCTTCCACTTAGACATAGGTGTTGACGTTGGCACACTGCTAGAAGTGCTTCTTGATCCTTCTGCAGAAACAAAAAAGGAATAAGAAACAGATATCCTCACATTAGGATGTATGCATGCGCTGTAGGTGTTGAAATGAAGTATGCTTTCTACAATGCCAATTTATGATAATTCCATGTCTCTCCACAATCCCAACTGGTTTTTTGAAATTTTGCATGTTAACTGGCATTAAATCTCATCAGTGAGCTTGATTTAGCAACTAGGAAACTTGGATAATGCACGCAATAGCAAGGGGAGTTTATTTCCAGCCACTATGAATGTATAGAAATACAGACGCAACAACTATATTAACTGTAGAAGTTGCATTCCACACATTAGCATCTGATATTCACTAAAAGAAAATTAAGAAAGGAGTGGAAAAGGAAGGCTAGGATCCGCTCACCGAGTTTAGGATCACCTTCCTCCTTATACTCTTGGGTATGAACAGTCCCCTCCGGAAGATTTAACTGCTTCCCATAATGTTCAAAACCTTCCAACAGATCTGAAGAGATATCACCCCCTGAGCTTGATTCTGTGTTTGTGTCTCCAATACCCTTTTGCAGATCTATATCACGAACCTCTATTCTTGTTTCAATATCCAGCACCACTCCCCCACAATATTCAATGTCAACATCCCACATCCAAACATCATTCATGTCCACAGGAAGAACCCTGATGCCATGGATGTAAGGAGGGAGGTTGCCTAGGTGTAGGCTTGTACATACAACTTCACCAACATATGACGGAATTCTCATATTGGACAAGGTTCTCTGATGCAAATGAAAAACAACATTATTGAAGGTCGGGATGGGATAGACAGAGGAGGCAAAGGTAGAGAACAAGCTAAATACTCTGTAAAAAACAAATGCATCCAGTCTTCAAGAAAATATGTGCATAGTTAGCAGTTCATGCTGAGGTAATAACATCTTCTTGCCTAGACTAAAAAGAAATTGTCAGATCCTGAATGAGACACAGAATGGTTCACTGTTGCACCTTGCAATATAATTTAGCTTAAATAGTAGAAGCGGTCGGAAACAAATAAATTGAGATATGCATGCATAGAATAATAATAATTTCTACTGTGAGCACCACTACTGTAGGCGCATACGCTCTAAGAGGAAAGTGAGTACCAAAGATGAAAGAATCCATACCATGGACAATCACAAATACAGTACAGGTTCTACCACTTTCTTTAGGGCAAGATATTCACTCTTATTCGAACAATGTACTTGAGTTTAACTTTTTAGAACAACTGACCTGGATTCGTGCTTGCACTGAACTCTTAGTCTCCAAATTGCCTTTGACATCAAAAAAGAGTCGAGAGATCAGCAAATTCCAGCAAAGTGTTCCATCATCTACACTATACTTCTCATCGGATTCTCCATCAGAAGAGGCATGGCTTTGGGAACGAGAATAGGAAGCTGATGATGCTGTATGGTCCTCTTCAGTGATGATAGGAGCCTTCACTGATGGAAGTGTCTTTGCCATGTTACTGGCCACTGAGGGATCTTGGAATGGACGAGACCTTTCACGGCCTAACGAAGGTGTTGCCCTATTCTCTGCAGTAGCCTTGGAACCCCTTTTAGAGAGTTTTCTCCAAAATGAGCGAACCTTGGATGTTGAACCATCGAACCTGGTCACCCTATCTATCATTTCTTCATTGCACCCTGAAGAGGGCTTCATAAATGAAGGGTATCCAGTATTCAAGGACATCAAATAAGAGTGGAACTCTTCAGTCACTTTGGTAAACCAGGAAAGCCTCAGTTTGTCATCACATGAGGCAAGACGAAGCGCTTTACACCAGGACTCCTTCTCCCAGGATGTTTCAAGATATACATAAACCGTTCTACTTCCATTGTAAATCACAGAACTTTTGCTTTCTACTTTGATGGGATATCTTTTGGCCCTGTAGTACAATAAAAGAACAGAATAATACATGGAAGGATGAGGAAAAGACTGACATAAAGAAAGATTCATAAACTTCAAGACCAGATCCTAACTCCATAGCCTAATCTACAACTTCTATCACTTGACTGATTGTAGAATTTCAGTTTCCATATAGTTGCTTGATTGATGAAATAAAAGAATGTCATTTGAATACACTTTGCAGCTAATCCATTATCCATTTATAAGATTACCATAGCAAGCACAACACTAGAGCACAGCAGATCATAGGATTCACATTCCCTACAACATACAGTAGCTGGAAAAAAAACTGCTCTAGTGAGTGAAACAGATAAGCCTAGCCAACAATGCCCAAATGCAAATGCAAAGGAAACTCGCATCACCTAGCATAATACCATATTTGAAACCTGGGAGTACGCTACAGAAGAAGTTAGGAGAGGAATGCATACCATTTCCTTGAACAAAGACTTGTAGCAGAAACAGCTTCTACAAGACAACCGACCAAAGGAACAGCTGTATGTGTACCATCTGAATCAACCAGAATAAGGAACCGGTCCCTGATTTTAGCATGTTTTCTAATAGGGACAACCTCATAGAAATCTTTCTTCTTCTTTTGCTCCTTCTCAAGCAACCATGTTTTCGGAACTTTATCAGGCTCAAGAACCCATACGACTCCCTGAGATAAACGAAAAGGAATACAACTACAAACAATGAACACTGCAGAAACACTGGAAAAGCTAGCAAAATGTAATGATAGTGAAAGTGTGTGACTGCAACGAATAAGTACAGAATAATGTGACAACATGAGATGATGAGGTAGAAACCGTAGGAAGGCCTAGTAGGTCAGTTTTCCGACTTTTGTCAGCCAGGACAAGGTGGATTATCGCATTCCCCAAAAGATCAATCAGCTGATGAAACATCACCAATGATCTTTTATACTAAGAAAAGAATTTAAATTTTCTACAGACGCAGAGACATTCAGCAATACAGAGCAAAAACATCTCACATTCACCAGCGCAAGCTTATGAAATAATTCAAAAAAAATACTAGGGATTAAAGAACCACAACCAGGTGGCAATCAAACTGCATTTTTGGGCTTAACCCAACTGAAAAGGCAGTGAATTTTTGCAAGTTTAGGAAAACGATTTGCTACCTTCTTGTTATGAGCGTATTTGAGGGATTGCCTGGGATCGAGGTCTTTCTGCGGATCCCCCGGCGAGGACAATTTGGATTTCTGCAGCGAAATCTTGCGGTTGAGTCGCTGTAGCAAGGCGTAGGCGCCAAGAGCTTCCAGGGCAGCGAGTGCAACCGCACCAAGGAAGAAGCCAGCGATGAAAACCAGGAAGACCCACATTGACGATTGTGGTGTTTCTCAACTCCAATCAAGTCCACCTTAAACCGTTCTTCGCCCTCGGGGGGAAACGATCAAGAAAGGAAATTAAGGTATCGATGATTCAACTGCGCTGTGCGCTCCAAAGTGAAGTACCTGTCCACTGAATTCAGGATTGGTGGTGGGTACAGCAGGCAGTAAAATTGAGAGTTTGGTGGCAATGATGGAGGCCGGAGGGAGGGAGGAGAGAACCCTAACAGAGGATCTGGTTCTTTCTCTCTATGTCTGTACTATTATTTTTCTTCCGATTCGGTTAGAATTTTGGTTTTCCGCCTTCTTTGGGAGAAATTCCCTTTTCTATCTTTTTGCTTTGCTTTTGCACACTTACATGGACAGAAAGAAGGACGACTAGTAGAGGAATAAGATATTTTTAGTTGGGAATTCTTCCACAAAGAAGATTTTATATTTCTATTTTAGATAATATATTTTACCTTTCTATGTGAAAAATTAGAAAATAAATCTAATGTGATTTCACAAGTTGAAACGTTTTACGAACAAAATATTATTTGTTTTGGGTCTAGACGCTTGTAAATTTTATTTTGGTGTACATATTAAGCTGATCATGTTTAACTTCGAAGTTCATGTAATAACTCTTCTATTTCACCCAAAAACACATCTTATAAATTAAGTTCAGTTTCTTACTTATGTATGAATTATGGATCTCTCCAGTTATTTGTTGATATGAGATTCGCCTAAGGTGTTACTTGTGTTGTCGTTTGCCTCACCATCGTTCAAGAGGGACGCCGAGAGACAATGGTACCATTTGTAACTCCCGAATTTTTTTCCAACAAGATATTGTCCCTTCTCGGTCTAGACTCTCATGAATTTTGCCTTGGGGTATATATCAAAGTGATTTCCATAAGGTCACTCATCATTGGAGTGCTCCACAGTGAGCACGTTTAACTTCGAAGTTCTTCCAAAAACTCTTCTATTTTACTCCAAAGCACATCTAATCAATTAATATCGATTTCTTATTTATAAATCATGGATATCTCCCATACTTTGTGAATTTGAGATTCACCTAAACCTTTACAAGTTACAACTGTATTTTCCTCATTGCTAGTTTCTTTTCTTCCTTGATTCTTAAAATTGGGTTTTCCTCTTTTGTTTTGTGGCTTTTTTGTCCATGATTATAGTTTTCGGATTCCTCCCTCTTGGACAACATCTTTTTAATCGGCTCATATTTGTCCCAAATTTGGTCCTTTAAAGGAAGATCTAGGGTGGACCTTGTTGCTCTAAGACGTCAACCTTATTTTACCATCCTTTAATAATGACATTAAAAAACCTAAAATTCAATAATTATGGTTTACCGCGTTTGTAAAACTGTACATTACCGACAATATGTAAAGAAAAATTGCCTACTAAATTTTAAATCGATGGATTATTTTAGCAGTATGAAACGATTGAGTCACGATTAACCATAGTTTAACACAAAATACTCTATCATTAACTTTAGATACTATTTTACCATCATTGCTTTTTAGGTTCTTACAAAGCCGCATGTCGAGATTTCATCCCCCTCCCTCTCGAAACAAACACATCTATCTTCTCTCACCATCGACCAACCACTAGAGAACTAGTTACTTGTATTCTATTATATAGCAGGCCAGCTCATGAAGTAATGACTTCAATGCGACCTGCCATTCCTAACCTAGAAACTAAAATAAGAATTTCAATAGCATAATTGGGTACTGATATATCAATGGACGAAAGCTTCACTACCTGCTTTTTACGCACACCCAAAGAATGAAAGAAAGAAGCCCATTCTCATTTTCAGAACACGAACAGGGGAAAACAAGCTAAGTTACACTTTGAACTGACACTCTTTCATTTCATTTCCATTAAGAAAGATCAGCAAAAGTTCATCTAGGTTCTCGACCACTAATATTCAACTGAGCCTGATAACAATAAGAGTCAGATAATACACTTAAAACACACAGCCAAAGCTCCATCTGTATGTTCTTGTGCATAACTATCCATGACATCAAGTTTAACCCTAAAAGAAAGGAACATTCTTCCTAATAGACAACAATCATTGTGGCCCAAGCCATCACTGTAAGTGCACATTAGACGGTAGATTTAGAGCTCCCAAGAATGCATCAACTTGCAATACCTTCTACGATAAGAATATGGTCAATTGGGAATTGGAAAACGGGATGTGAAAAAGTTGAAGTCATGGTGGTAGACATTCAACTGCTTAAGCCATGAATCTGCTGCATGCTGAAGATAGATCGCCTTTTCATAGTCGGACTTGTGGGCTAACCAAATATCCCCTTGCACTTTGTATGTTGCCAGCCCAAAGGGAGGAAGGGGAACTCCACCAAGTACTGTCTTTACCAGCTCGGGGGACTTCATGTTGTTCTCATTTCCAGTTCCACAATCTGCATAATACAAATGGGTGTGGTTATAAAAATATCAGTATGATGCAGCTCATCAAAACTCCTAGTCCATCACACCCAAATAACTCACTTCCAACAAGGATAAATAAGAATTCACAAGACCTTCTACTCTTATTCTGCACTTATTAACATTCCTCATGATACACAATTTAGGATCCATGGAAGGTAAATGCCAATGAAATGGTTTCATGAGAAGCCAAATTATGTTTTCAAGGGACAACATTCAACTATGAAGTTCCCACTCAATCATAAAGAAGTATAGAGCATGGCTTGGATAATGGTACCTTTGAAGGATGAGGACAAAGTATGAAAGGTAAGAAAGCTCGCGTCCAAGTCCTTCTCACCTCTTCGTGATGGAATATGATAAATCGGATACCTAAGTTAAAAACAAGTCATAAATTATCGTTGTTCATCCAAAGAGGCCATATATGAATAAGAAAAAGAGAGTTAACTATAATCAATCCATTTTACTAGTGTTTGAATGCAACTCACATTTCAAACCAAATGAAAGTCGGACATATCAACAAAAATACTCGTATGAAGAAGTTAACCAAGACCATTAAGATCAGACATTCTCAAATTCATATGAAAAATCATGAGATCTACATCAAGAAATTTAAGACATGAATCAAGATCAACAAATGTTATTTTGACATTAAGTAGTAATCCTTCATTCCTAAAGATCTACAAAAAATCAATATGACATCTAATGGTGTCACATAAGTCGTTAACCAATTAATGGTCACGTTATTTACGTTACACTTCATTGCTTGAAATAAAAGATACGAGGCGCCTGGAACATATTGCACGTATGCTCAGTCTCTTACACACGACCTTACGTCATTATTAAAGTGACGAAACAATAAATGGTATTATAGAAAAAGGGTCAGGTGGCTTTACTCAAATCTAGAAATGTCGAGCTTTCCTATTAGCTTAGTATGGACGTGACAAACATTTTATCGAATCAAGTAAGTAAATGTTGATAAAAACTTGTCCTTTTGAGGACATCCAATAAAATTTGAACACGGAAGAAATATACTTGGGCTCAATTTGCTTGGCCTTCCACTATTTGTATTCATATAGGCTTCTTTTTAGCATAAATGCTATCGAACCCCAATTGGTGGGCCGAAATTTATAACCTAACTTTTAGCATAATCTATATTAACATGATTCAAAAAAGTCTCCATCGATATGAGAATACCACCAAAACTAGTGATTTCAAGGAGGATGGTTAGAAGTCAATCTAAATTGACATGATGATGATATATTGAGCAACAAGAACAATATTTGCTTTGATTCAAGACAAGTATAAGCTTACATAGGTCATCGAAGAAGATTGGCACTGCTCTAACTTAGCTAAACACAATAAATGGAAAACTATTCATGACGTAGTTTGAAGAAGAGATTGAAGGAATTAAGATGATGGAAAATTCTTTAATAAGAGCATCCCACACCCCTATTATACTCCAAACATTTAATGAACTTCATAACACATAGCTTTAGTCAATAAGAACTTTACTAGGTAACTTAAAGTAGGTGATTGTATGGACTTTATGCCTTTTGGGATGGGATTGAAGGAGTTTATAGGAAACTCTACATTTTGTAAATTCTTAATAAACTACTTAAACGAGATCAAATAAGAGTGTCTTTCTAGTGAGTTAAGATATTTCCAAACACGACTCGAATCAAACTAATAAATCTTTGCATTTTTTTTAAGGAGGCTTCCCATCGCCCTATTAGTCACTGAACATTCAGAAACTCCCACTGCACATGGATATACTCTATAAGACCTCTATGCGCTAACATAAAATATGCGGTTGGATGGATAGTCCAACTTGGAATGGGATTGGTAGAGTTCACACAAAAACCTAGTTTTCACTATAAGAGATTGTGTAATGTCAACTTTTGCACCAATACATTCTCAAATATGCTTAACACCAACATAATAGGAAACATCATTATCCCTTATTAAGTTATTATACACTGAACATTTTACTAACCATATGACACATGTTTGTACTCCATTAGACCTTTTATGGGATATTAACAAAGATAGCTGTATGGACATTTTCACTTCAAATGAGATAAGGGAGGATTTTATAAAAATGACTTCTTTAGAAAAAGGCCTCCCATTACAAGAAACATGACAAAGTTAGATCCATTACTAAGCACAATAACATTTATGGTCAATGCATTCGTAGCTATTGCATTTGATGAAGAAAGTTGCTTCATGAGATAGTTACTAACATTTGTAAGCAATCAATGATACAGGCTAGGTAATTTGTTGATACACTTCTTATACTTATGTTGGGTAATTAGATCTTAATTATTAATTAGATCATCAATGGTATGTTGTTCTAATAAGAGTCAACATTATACAATGTTTGCCCATAATATGTAGCACTTGCACGTTATATACTAGATACCAAGTTAATTGAAGCACCGCAAATTTTTACATAATCCAACCATGACACTAAGTAGAATATTCCTTTTGCATGCTTTACTTTACAAAACTATATAATCAGATATACTAGGCAAATGTATCGTGTCTTCACTAGTCATATT